CATTACAGACATCATAGCAACTGACGGCTCATTAGAGATAACCCCCCCATTACAGACCTTAGCAACCAATAATAAAAGGTATCAAATTTTCGAGTGTTTTTTTTGGAAAATTGATCAAGTTATAATTTTGAAAAATAATGAATATCATTATTTGTGACTTGATTAATATATCTGCTATTGCATAAGGTATGCTGTAGATATGAATATGTAAAACAGACTTATTTGTCAATCAGTTCAATAATTATAATAATAAAAATGTTAAATTAAGAAAACTGAATTTAAAAAATGAAAAATAATGAGCGAATAGCAACAATGTAAACAAAAAATAGGGCGCTCGTAGAGAAAAATGAAAAAGTTCTGTTCGAAATGCAGAAATTAGAGAAGTCATTATTCTAAACATTGATCATCATGCAAAACAGCTATAGTCTACGAGAGATTTATCACTTTACGTATTTTGTATTAGTTTACTGAGGCTAGAGTGTATATGTGAGTTTCACATTTTAGCCCCAAAGGGGGTGCGCTAACAAGCTTTTTCAATTCTATTTCGTTATTTAACCCTGAATTATATAAAGTGAACATTCAAACATAAAATTATCACTTATTATTAGAGAGATTCATAGCTAATATATATATATGGGGTGAGCAGTCTGGCCGGATGTCCCAACTTTCTTTTTATCATTTAACTTCTATAATAGATCAGAATAATATGATCTTTTTACCAGCTATAGTACTCGTATAATGCTGATGATCGGTGAAGGATGAGGGGTCTAGACCCTATATACACACAAAATAATCAAAAGTCTTCAAAAAATTTGTTCTTAAATACCAAAAGTTTTTTCGAAGACTTGATTATTATGGGCTCATACAAGGCCCAGACCCTTTATCCTTCATCGATCATCAGAATTACACGAGTATTATAGCTGGTAAAGAGATCATATTATTCTGATGTATTATAGAAGTTAAATGATAAAAAAAAAGTTCGGACATCCGGCCAGACTGCTCAACCCCATGTATACATAAATTTATTTGGAAGAAAATCCATAACTGCATTTATTAAAAGAAGGAACAGCCAGGCTAAGTAAAATAGTACTGTCAAATGTGCAACTCTTTTTGGTTCTTTTATTATATTTATATTGTGAGACAACAAAGAGAATAAAAATCTTTCATTAAAAAGAAGTCTGTAGTCCTTCGATCGAAGGTTAGTATCTCTTTTTTCTCTCATACCTTGATGTTTCATCTACACGTGCAGTCATACATATCAACTTGTTAAAATATAATATAAACAGGTGTAAAAAAAGACACGAACATTTCAGAGGATGATAAAAAACGTTGTTAGTTTTAATTTAAAACTGTGAAATAAATATATGTAATTAGGAAACTTTCCTGAATTCTTAGATAGAAATTTTAGGTGATAAGCTAACTACCGATAAATATAAAGATGATTAGTTAATACACGTAGATTGTAATTTGAAATAACAAGCACCAATACATTTGAACAATCATAGGTAAATTACCGATGCTGTCATAAAACTAAAACTTAAGTTTCTCAATATCCATTCAATTATAAAGAAGCAACCTAAAAACATTCAAAATGACTTCGCGCATTTATCTTTTGGTAATTCTTTTTTATTGAAGTTTGTGTTTGATATTTCTATAAGTATCTACTTGTTCTTCGTCATATTGCTTTGAATATTTTTGATCTCGTTGATTTGAGTTGGAATCTTATAATAATTCTGTTTTAACTGTTGTTCTATAATTTCTTTTGATAAAACTAGTTAAATTACGTTAGATGTGCAAATTTCGATGTAGATTTATTTTAATTCTAGCTACGTTTGATATTTAGACAAATAGTTCTTTTCACGCATTTCATCAATTTATCCTCAAATAAAGGACAAGCAAAGCTTTTCGATAGAAGACACGTTACTTACTCAAAAGGAACAATCAGTTGATATCAGTTATTTGAAAGAGAAAAGGTTTCAATAGTATTTTTCTTGAAGAAGCTGTATGCGTGTTAGACACCACAACACACGTGCTGTCTTATTTGCTCCTTATTCTATGTATTAGAAAAGACCGTTCGAAACAAAAAAAAGATATATCAAACATTAAGTAAAAGTTTTTCAAACCATAATTGCACTGATTTTCTCTTCAAACTACAACGTCAATAGAAAAATAAAATTCTGTTATCAGTAAAACTGAAGATTAGTTAGTACTGAATAGAGAAAACGTTTTTACAATGTTCTAATACTTCAAATAAATTGCTTCCGTTCTTTCGTTCACTTTTCCAAGATATACAACTTGATATATTCATACTCCCATATAAGCGATTAGAAATCAGCTGAAGGAGATTTGCATTTAAATTCAATTTTTCTAATTGCAAAA